CCACATAGTTAAACTCTTAATTAAGTGTGTTAAAGGATTTTTCGAGATGGAAGGAGTCAGGTATTCACAGCTGACCTATTTCCACCACAAAAGAAACATCATTTGAGGGGCATGGACACAGATGTGTCCGAGGATGTACTGGGGAGGTGTTCTCACCTCTCCATGCCTCTGTGAACAGGGCGACAGTTTATTATGTCTGGATGTGGCCTCTGTGTGCTTGGTTTGCTTTTCCCCAAATGAGCTCAGCTGTAGTGACATTGAAATTTATAAAATGTTTATAGTTGGTCAGTCAGCACTGCGTGCTGTGGATTTCATAAAGAACTTTGGACAACTGCAAATACAGTACTTTGATGTTTTCTAATTTTCGCAAATCATTTGAATTATCAAGTCTTCTTGAAATTGATTGCCTTGCCACGCTGTATCAGCACTGTTTATCTAAAAACAATTACCCAGAAAAATAGGAAAACAATATTTAGCACGTTGTGATTCTTTCATTAAACAATGCTATCAAAAAATGGAAAAACGTCTGCAGCCAATACAAAATAGACAATTAAATTCATATCCCACTGAAGCAGTGTGGACATACAGTGTGAATGAGTTTATGGACTCAAATTACAAATTGCTTACAAATTTAAGTCTCTGGTAAATGGAGAATTAATTTCATGGCAGGCTTGCCACCGACGCTGCAAAAACCCTATTCAATACAAATGCTGTGTGGTGTTCTGTGTGATTCTTCTTCTCTCTGTAGTGGGCAGGTGTGCAGGTGGCACCAGCACCTGCAACTGCACCTGTGCAGTTTGTGTCACAGTATGTTGGTCTCTGAAAGCCATTTGTTCTCAGTCAGGTTAGTGTGCTCTCTACAACTGCTACAAATATCAATTGTTTTAAATTTTTACTTCACAATTTGATAAGAACAAAAGAACTCAAGCTGTGATTAGATATAAATCATACTGTCTATGACAATTTTAAAGGAATAGTTCAACATTTTGGCAATGCTTTCTTGCTGAGAGTGCAATGAGAAGATTGACATTCATTTTATGTATGTACAGTAAATATGTGGCTGGAGGCAGCAGCTGGTTAACTTGGCTTAGCAAGGACAAACTGGGGGATACCACTAGCTTGGCTTTGTCTGAAAGTAACAAAATCTGCTTACCAGCACCTCTAAAACTCGCTGATTAACACTTTGTATCCAGTCGGGACCAATCGCCTCTAAAGCGAATTTTCGCCTTGTTTCATTCATGCAAATTTGACTGCTAGATTGTTTGTGGTCTTTCAGCCAAAATAGCCAATGTAGCAGCTGTGTACAGACATTAGCTATAAGCTAGCTAGCAACAGAGCCACTGACAATGTCTGTGTTGGGCAGTGGGTTTGTTCAGCTCAGCCTCTGACTGATCTCACTAGAAACCCTAGGTCTGTTATTTCCCTTCAGTCTTTCTCCTTTTCCTTCTAATCTCTGTATGTCTATGATGCAGATTCATAAAGCTCTGGCATGAATTTTTCCCTTGGATGCCTCTTTTCCATAAATTCACGCTGCCCTGGGCAAATTAGCGTCAAATTGCATCTTCACATTGACTTTATATGTAAAATTGTAAAATGTACTTTGCGTTCTGTCTGAATACACAGTTATGCTTCAGTTTTCATATGGATTAAACAAAAAAATATATAATGTCTTAATTGATGACCTATAAAGGTGCTCATATGTGGACTGTACAGCCATGAAAGTGGTATCAATCTTCTCATCTAACTCTAGGCAAGAAAATGAAGAAGTGTATTTCACAAAATGTTGAACTATTCCTTTAACAACACATTTGTATTTGTTTTTATGCTGTTTGGTATGAGTAATGTTAATGTACAGCTCAATGTAAAGACCAAAAAGCCTGTACCACAGTGATTGTGGTATTCTTGCTTGATAATGACACCTGGTGCTTCTGCGTTTTTAAAAACTATATTTTCACCAAACTTGAACTTTGACATTCTAAACTGCGACTACAGATGTTAATCAAAGTCAAAACTTAATCCAGGCCTGATAAGATGCTCTATTTAACAGACCCGTTTTAGCGGGGGGCTCGATCAGGTGAAATGAAGAGGAACTGATTGCTTGTGGTGATTGTGCTGATTACATTTTAAATTTAAAACTTTCCTTCTCGTGCATGGACCTGAACAGTATTGCAGACAATGACATAGCAGGCTTAGTAAATGCCAAGGTGCCTGCAATCTAACAGACTGGTAGGGAAACACCACACTTTTTACTTTACTGGAGTTACAGAACTGTGGCTGTCTGGATTTTATAAATGGACAAACAAACAGAAATATACTCAGGATAATTCTTTGTGTGTTGTTAGCACTAAGTATGGTCTACGAATTCTGTAACTATGTGTACATATGGCTATTTTCCTACTTGGCCAAATCCCTGTCATTGGTAAAATGTATAGATAAACACTGAATTATCCCCACCAGATCCAAAAGCTGAAAATGCAATTTTCATATAATCCTTAATAAAACAATCATGTAGGAGGGAGAGTTCAGCATTCCTGACTCTCTCTTTTTCTGACTGTGGGCAGAATTCACAATGACTGAGATCCATGTTGCAATTTCCCCCCTAGTCAAAACATTATGGATGCTTGTGCTACAGCTGTCATATAAATGGCATTTGAAAATATGCGATGAAAGGAATTTGCATGAAATACGACACAGGATAAAGCATTAGCATATTGGAAGGGGGTATTTGCAATTGTGTCCTGCCCTCTGTTAGAGATGACAGATCATGTCATGTTACATGCATGCGTAAAAATCCCACAGAAGGATCCTAACTGCTATTTAAAATCAAAATAATTTCCAAAATAAGGAAATATGAGTGTGTTCAAAGCTGAATTTTACCGTGTTTATATACACAGAACTTAATGCAGGTCTAGTTGGCATTCAGTCCAATCACTGTTTGTAAGCATGAATAACCTTGTGCTAATGTAAGATCACAAGAGGACTGAGACTAATCTGTGCTATCAAACCAATGTGAAACCTCTTTCAGTGACAAAAATGGGAGACTCACAAATCATTTTGCAAAATCACATCAAGTTTTCGGAACTTTTGCATCCCAGTGGGTCTAATATCATGGCAGAGATATCAATTTCAATCCGGAAAATCGCTCTTGATCTTTTTTACATCATTTTGCATCTTTTCCAATTCGTTCTCCAAAGATGTGTTGGCGTGACACCGCAGATCAAGGAGTTGATGGCAAACTCACTTGCCATCTTTCTGACTATGTGCTGCAGCTATGAAAAGTTAACTGTGAGCAGGAATCTTTTAAAGCCATTCTGCTTTACATTCAGTGGCTAAAGCATTGGTCATGGGAAACACTATCTTCTCCTGGATGTTTTTGCTTGCATCCCATGACCAGCTGCTCATCACTTTAGCCATTTTGTAAGAAAAAAAAATATATTGCACTGTATATAGCAAAACAAAGGTTGTCTTTCTGCAGCACTGCAGCAGAATATCTATATCACATGGATGATATTCAAAGTAAATGGTCATAAAATCATTTTACGAGCATGCACTGGATTGAGTCCAAGCTCTCGCTCTCTGGCTCAATCAGTGCACGGATACTGGTGTTCAAAGCTGTTCTTCTCCAACTCTCCCAGCTTAACTCTGGAGAAGAGTAAGGAAAGGTACAGTAGTATGATGATAAATGTTTCTTTCTGTTTCATTAAGGTTTGAGTGTGGGAGTCAATGGACACATTGACTCCCACACTCAAACCTTAATAAAGATCTTTAAAATAACAATTTCAGGAGAGTTTACAGGATTTTTTTCCCATATTCGTCTTTTCAACTTCTAAAGCTTAATAAAATAATAAACACTATAAACCTTATAAATGAGAATTATTTTGATGGCCATAAACATCCATCTCACACAGTGGTATATCTGTCCAATTTTACAGTAAATAGTGTAATTTTGTTTGAGCATGAAAAATTATATTATTGTGACCTTTTTAGGTGAGGGCAGACAGGAGGATTTTCTGTGTTGAAAAGTACACGGTTTCCTTGTAACACTGAAAAAGACAATTTATTTGCCATAGTGTCTTAATAACAATAAGTAAACACAATCAACTTGACATCTGAACTGGATTGCTTACCATGGTTGTCTATTGTTAACAAGGTTGCTAAACGAGACAACCTAACGCAGACCTAACAACCTAACTCTAGACGCTATATATTTTCAGTATATATTCGTATATTCGCATATGTTGTGCTGTATACTATATATTTTCATGTTATCTGAAGACTTACAGCTGCATGTTTTCATTTCAGTGAAAATTGTGGAATGAAAGCTTAGCAAAGGGACCGGGAGATTTAGCAAATACAATGTATGCATATAACAACAATGGCAGGAAGTCAGTCATTAGTTTTAACAAGGGCAATATAACAGAACATTTAATTTCTTATATAGACAACTGTACATATTTCTGAAGTTGTTTACTAGTGGAATACTGTACGTGCCTCAGTAAAGATGTCGAGGGCTGTTAAATTTGTTGCCGTTATGGCTTGTGTTTTGTCTTACATTCACCGTAATACATTTCACTGACTGTGACAAACAGAGTGCAAGTCTTACAGCAAATATCAATCATTGCACTATGAAAATGTGGCATGATTGATGAATATTAATAGCCCACGCCAGGAACTGCAACCCTGCGACCAGAGCCCCTGTTGAATTGTAGTTTATTGTGTAACTATTTGTATTGGTTGAATATTATTGTTCATAGTTCATAGATATTAATTGTTGCATGTGATGAGAAACAAAAGTTGATTTTCGCAACTTCTCAAAATAGTTAGCAGCTGTACATCATGGAAAAAATATTTGAAATATCCATCTTTCATCACCCATCTTAACTTACCTGTCCTCATCATATTCACCAATATTCAACTTTGAGTTATGATATCCATTATAAAACCATATCGCTCTAAAGATAAACCACAAAGAGAAAAGTAAAATCCTTAGAGAGGCCTACCTTGAGGTCGAAGGTGTGAAAGTCATGGAACATTCTCTCTCCTGAGACCTGTGACAGAGCGGGGGAGGGGTGAGACGTCAGTCATGATTAGGCCACGGTGCAATTACAGAGCAACTCCTCTGACAGTGATTGATCAATGAGGAACTCCCTTAATGAAGACAAGGACCCAGGGGCTCCCAGGAGCAAATTGGCAAAAGTAAGTAGTGGAAATAGTGTCCCAGATTGCCAAAGCACTAAGAGGATCATACCATCTGTGGCGTAAATACAGGTGCATGTCTGATTTCACACAGCTGGAGCAGAAGCCAAACTGCAGTAATACTAAGACTACCAACCATGATATTCCAGCATTCTTATTGATTCTAAAGTCTCGTCTACTATTTCCTATAAGGACAATGTAAGCTCAAATAGTGATTCCAAGGACATCATTTTTGTTTAATTCATTAATACATTGAATACATATATTGAATGTATTTTAAGACAAAAGTCCCCACAATGAAAAAGTGGAGTTGTAATGCTTCCTTCCCCTATTTAAACCTTGTATACTGGTCTTGTGTCTTCAAATTAAAGGTATACTGAAGTTTCTGACCACTAGCAGTCATATGAAGCTCATTTTAAGAGCTGGTCCACATTTTATAAATATCTCATGCATGAGTGCATGCAGTGAAGTAATACAAGGATGATGGTTTCATGTTATTTCAGTGAACGACATTTGGCATTTGGCAGCATGTGCCAAGAAATGTGGCAATGCACCAATAAAGCGGAAGACTGCTAGCAAGTAAATGTGGATATATATAGTGTATGTTTCAAATTCTTCTACAAATTGGCTTTGAAAATGTTTTGTGAGGATGGAAATGGCATCAACACATTTAAAGGACCAGTGAGTAGGAT